ATTGCAAATTGGAATTGCGGAATTCATCCGGTGAGAGGAGACGATGGACACGAACTTTGTACACAACCTGTGAGAGGGGAGAGGACAGAACCGTAACCGATTTGGTGGAAGTTGGAAGAAACAGGGGAATAAGGCCAATGAGGAAAGACAGAGATATCATACTGACAATGATGTGCTGCATGGGGGCAAACAGCGGTGATGCCAAGGCTGAGATCAACTGTCGGATTATTAGTTCTATTGAATTTTAGTTCATTACGTTGAAACGCCAAAGGTTGATGCGATGAAAAAACTGGATTCCCGTAGCTCGGATTGACTAAATCTATAGAGATAGCGATGGTGTCCGGCTGAAACCATGACTATTATATTTCAGAGTGGGGCATGCTCGGTGGTGGAAAACCGGTTCCCGAAGAAAAGTAGAGGAATTCGCATAGACACATGCAATGTACAAGTTCAAGGACTTGAGAAAAGTAAAAAGATTGGAGAGAAGAATCGGGGACCAAGTAGAACTGCAGAGGGCGGGAAACGAAGCGAATAAGAGTTGAAATGCGGATCAGGAACGTAGAGATTACGCTTGCGGTATGTAAACATGCAAGAGATTTTAGTGGCATCAAAAAGGCCTGGATAGTCTGTTCCAAGCATCGATAACACTCCGGTTTGAACTGAGTGAGGAACATGTAGATCATCGATTGTAAGTTATGACGATGCCAGAGAATACAGGGGGATGGTTATGAGAAGGAGAATCATGTGGAACGGCATCCTCGACATTTGAGTCATATTCTTGGTATAAGCGCCATGTCCATCGGATTTCAAATGTATGTTGTGGACGTTTAGTCAGTTTAACCGAATGAGGCGGAATAGTGACCGCTATGAGTCAAAAAGCGAACAAACACCGACAGTAGAAAGATGTGAAGGTATAAGGTAGCAAGGTTGTGATATTGAATGCCTTGATCAAGTGTTCAGAACACCAGGGTTTTTATAATCACTTCATCTTTATGCTCACTACAAGTTAAGGCTACTTAGTGTCTGTTTTCTTGATTGACTAAACTAAAAAGGAATAGTTAAAACAGTATCACGTAAGCGGGACTTTGGTGGTATCGACAAAACTACTGATAGCTTATGGGTTAACTGGATGAGAAGAAGATTATGCGAGTTGTAGATGAAAGTGTGGATTGAGAGTTGTCAGAAAAACTGTCGCATGCTTAGAATGCCCACTAGCGAAGCAGGCAACAGGATTCCCCTCGAAGGTTCTATTGCCTCAGGCACATGTAGTTTTATGTTTACACCAAAATGTTTGGACACATATGGGTGGGAACAAAAACGGTGGCCGACTACTTTTCGTTTATAAACAGGTGAGTGTGCATTTGTATGCATATCAAACGATACCCATGTTAAAATACTGACAAAACAGCTAATCCAAAACATTAATTTGGGGAAAGTTCACTGAGACAAAGAAATATTCACTTTAGACGGTCACAGAATGAAAACTATGAAGAGGATGAAAAAGAAACAAGACAAACAATGAGGGTGATGCAGCTAATTTCTAACAGAATAAAAATGCAAAAAAATGCGACTGTTCTGGATTCCAGTCGGGGAATTCTTCAGTTTTCCACGAATCGAAATGTAATAACATCAATCGATTTTACGTGAGTAAGGTTTTCAGTATACAGGTCTAATTGTAACTGAAGCAACTGGTCCCTGTGAAACACTTGTCGGTTTGTATAGGCAACAGCATTTATACTGAGATAACGGGTACTTTCGGTTTTGAGCGCTGCTTGCTTCATTATAGTGACAATGATACGAACATTCAAAGCTGTGCACAAAAATGACCTTGATTTCAAGGTTGACTTTGATTGAAGTGGTATTTCTCGAATTCAGTGAGTTAGATATGAAACATAGATTATTATTATGAAACCTTATTTAATGCAATTTCTCTGGGTTGTGAAAGAGTTGCTGTAATGGATTACATATTAGATAAAATAATGCCTCATTACAAATAACCGAGATGGCAAGGGTTTATGGAAATAATTTGGGATAATTATTGAGTCATTCCTATTAGAAAATATTGCGTTTTCATACTTCATAAAGTTTGTAGTTTTTATGTTCACATCATTTAATTTTGGCCCTCAAGGTCAGGCACGTTTAACTGACACTTATGCAGACTAGAAACTAAGTAGATTGAAGTAGACAAGATATAAACTATTGTCCATACCTGAAGCATTAATACAGGTGATAAGTATAATGAAACTCCACTTGATCATAAAGAAAATAGTTTAGTGCATCACAATCGGCCAGTACTGTAGAGCAATCAGAAACAAAACTTTATTCAAAAACGGCATTGTTAAGAGAAACAGTCATATCCAAACCAGGCAGACTTCAAACAGTATGATATATTGGTTATTCGAACCGGCGACAGCAGGTTCATAGTAAAAAAGCATCTAGGAATAAATCATTATCGGCGAAAGACACCTCCAAAGAGAACACTGCTTCTATTCAGACAAGATACCTAAAGCATGGAAACAGGCGCGAGATGGTGTGTGTCTGTTAGAAGAGCACGTAATCATTGGATACTCATGGATCATAAGCAAGTAATTACTACTCACTAGCAATTTCAAGTTAAAGGGTAAGATACAATCACCGTTTAGGTTTCATGGTCAGAATAGGTTGATGAAAATATGTACAAGCGGGAATCAAACAAATAAACACTAACAGGAGCTTGTAATAATATGCCAGTGTCTGTGTGTGTGAGAGAGAGGTGAGACTTGAAGCTCAAGAGACATATCCGCGATATCAATGAAGCTTCGTCGAGTTGGCCGGATCAAGCAACGCGGTAATATGAGAGCATGAGTATCAGTAAAGGTCACTCGGAGAGAAAATGAAAAGCGAAGCCGTAGGCAAATGAAGAAATTACGCGCACGACATAATATACCACGATTGGACATTGAACTTTTCATGGAACTATTAATTTCTCAAATTCTAGGTTTCAAGCAAATACGAAACTACAAGGTGCCAATTAGAGAATTAGGGAAAGATAAATTTCAAAAGGAAGAATAAAAAATATTTTTCCCCCATGGAGTTGTCAAAACCATTCAAGAAAGATGCAGACTGAAAAATGTCCTGTTTAACATCTATTAAAAATCCCGATATACTCATTACTATTATGAGCATGAAACTATTGTTTCATAAACAGGCATTATGAACTTGAGTCAAGTCAAGAAGTGGCTTTAATTCTCCCTATAGGGGATGAACATTCAGCTACTACACAATCACTCTTCTTTGGAAATTACATGGTAACAAAGCGTACGGTGATACGTTACATATACAAAAAGCTAAATTTAGCAAAGAT